TTAAAAACAACACTTCTATATTGTTGGTTCCGGTTCCATCGATTCCGTTTAACTTCATTTCGCGTTTCACGTTGCTCATCAGTTAGACTTGCTGTTCTATATCTTTGACCTGAGGCATTACGGGTTCTGCGACGTAAGCCGGCATTGCCGGCATTTTTTGAAACAAAAATTCAACTGAAAATAAAAAATACTTTTCTTATTCTATTGCTATTTTGTAATAGTATCAAAATAGTCTATCAAAACTTTCTAACACTATAATAATTTGATTTACCTTGTAGAACAAACACTTCAGAAAAGAACATAGTACAAATTATCCTACTAAGAAATGGTAAATGAATTATGTAGGTATTATTTTATTATAACTCCGGCTACAGATAGTAAAACTGAATATGCACTCGTATATAACCAGACAAAACAAAAAATATACTCTTTGCAAACAATTTGAATTTTGAAGCAATAGTTAACTGAACTTTTAAGACAGAGACAACAGTTTATCATAGACTAATATAGTCACACAAATGCCAAGCTCGGCTTAAAGCATTATAATAAATCTTTAAAAATGATAGACAACATAACGAGACTTTTACGTTTTCGTTTATGTATTAAATATCTTAGAAATTGTTTTATAGAATATAATCTTTAATTTACACACAATAAATTATTTCTGAACTCATGTCAACCATTACTTATGGTATTTGACAGGATGAACTACAAATATTTGACAAATGACAGGCACAAAGGAAAAATGATTCATCTTTTATAATTATGTTTTCGTCGAGTTTTCTTTATTTTTTCGGGACGGAGACAAATCCAACGAAACAAAGACCATGAAAATTGGTCTATCTCGAGTTATAAGTGTTGTGACAAACACGACTTTTGTATGTATAATATATAGGATAGATCATAGAAGATAGATTCATGATTTCTTTATCTGCGGTAACCAAATAATCTTAGATTTTATGTTTTATTCCAAGTAAAATTCACTGATAAAATAGTCTCAAAAACAAAATTATATATTTTAATTTATGTTTAAGTAAAAAAAGTAAACTTAATTTGACTTTCTTATACAAGAAGTTAGATGAATTTACTATTGCTCACTCAGCACCCAATGTACCCTAATCTCATTAAACAGCTCGCTTATGATTGCTCTAACTTTATCTACTAACTAGAAGACCCGGCGAACTTCGTATCGCCCTATAATCAAGAAATATCTGTTACGTTTTTTATTTATATTTTTGGACTTTACCTGTAAGCCATAAATCTCCGTGTAGTGAAGTGCGACAGAATGATTGACATATTAGTTAGTTGTCAAATCTAATGTCAAAAAAAACGTTTGTATGGGAAATAGAAAAGGGCTGTTTTTATGGTTTCCCAGTAATAATAAAGTACAGTGAAATACTGAACGTCAACTAGGAAACCTCAAATTAAAATAAACTTTAACCGAAATCATTAGGAATTAAGATTAAATGTGAAAACAAAAGGACAACTAAGTACAAAATCCCGACAATCTATATGAGGACCCTCAGTAAATAGGATTATGAGAATTCCAGCGACTCCCGGGATAACCTATTTGTTTGGAGATTTAGTATATAACAGACTTAAAAGATTTACTTTTGGAGTAACTTTGGATCCGATGGAAATAAATGTTAACAAAGTACTTATAGTAAGATATTGAGTTATGTGTGTGCAAATCATTTTGAAAAAGAAAACAATTCTATTCATGTGAGGTTTCATCATCATCATTTGAGCCCTGTGAGTCTGCTGCTAGACACAAGCCTCATTCATGTAGGTACTCTTATTTGTTTAACCCTTATCCAAATATTGGGAAATTATTTCCCACTTGACAGTACCGTAATATTTCTTTATTATTTCTTTACTGGTAACTCTAATCGGTACCAATCCAGGAACAAAATAATTTTACACACTTTTTAAATATTTTACTTGGCAACATTTTGGACAAAATTGTTTAATGTCATCGTATGTCAATGTCAAAGTCACAATTTGAATTTTTTGGTGCACAAAACCGGTTCTCGCGGGACTTTCGAAAATTTTTGTAGAAAAAAAATCTGGTAAGTACATAAACAATATATTGATGTAAACTAGACTTATTTTCTGAATGCTTTTTACGGTTTCTGTGCTTTTTGCACTGATATTTCTTGGATTTTATTAGGTTTAATTAGGTGGGAAATAATTTCCCAATGTTCGTTCCTGCTTTGATAAACATCAGTGTCTTTATATAGTATATATAAAATTGTTTGTCAGCTGTAATAATAACTAAAATAAAAGTTCTTAATAAAATTTTATTTGTAACATTCTAGTTTCATTTTATTTTTATAATTTTATTCAATCACTCAATCATGTTATATTGATTTTTTTATATAAAAAAATAAACAAGTAAAGTAGGAGTAAGTAATATGTATAGAATTTGTAGTAAAAATGTCCCAAAAAAATGTAACCATTCCGGATGATGGGAAATAATTTCCCACCGTAAAACCCCCATTTCCCCTCTTTTTATAAAAAAAATGATGTTTTTTTCGAAATCTACAAAGCCCTTTTACCTAGTAACCATGTTTAATTCATAATTTTATTTAAAAAAAAAAATCCATTTGATTAAGGGTTAACTGAGTCGTTCGTCCATCTCGTTGGTGTACGTACAACGTTGTTAGTAGGACAGTTTGATACGATAATAATATTTATTTAAGTTCACGGTTCACCTCCTTATCATTTTACCATTAACCTATATATGTATATATACATATATATTAATAAAGTTAAATTTTAATAATAATAATAATAATAATAAAAAACTTTATTGCTTCAGATAGGTCGTATACATATTTTTAGGAGATACAAATTATTCATACTGGCAAACAATTTTTCTTAATTTACCACTCGTTTTCATTGACGACCTTATCGCAATGGGTTACAAGCTCAGCTATGTGCTGTGCTGTGCCCAGCGCTGATTTTCAGCTTGCTCCTTCCACATTATGTTGACGTAGTTAAAAGCGCCGCACCGTTTCGTAACACATTAAAGTAATACAAAAAAAAAAGAACTAATATTTTTATCGAACACAAAAAAAAAGTAAACAAACGATTTCTCCAGTTTATAACTAAATTTTAAAACCAAACATTAAAATAACGACAAAAACTTAATACACGCACATCTTCGCATCATAACAACCATAACTTTTATGTGTACATCATGACTAGGACAATTGAAACTATGATTAAATAAAATAATTAGTACATTATATAGTACATTTATAAAGTTGTTTTTCCTATGAAGGTGCTTCTACTTGTAGACGTAGGTAATATTCTTTAAGGTGTTTTTTAAAGTTACAATTGAGAAATGACAATCACGTAGGGGAGGTGGTAGGTTATTCCAAATTTTTGCTGCAGCATATTTGAAAGCACCTTAAAATCCTGTTGTTTTATGTTTAGGTATTAATAGTTTAAGCTTCTCAGTTTCTCGGACGCTCCTGTCTGTTCTATTCTCTAGCCAGTCAAGCTTTTGATATAAGTAATTCGGCTTTTTGCTGCGCACAATTTTATGTAATGATACTGCTAGATGAAGGTTCCTACGTGATTCCATGTTTAAAATATTGTGACAATTAATAAAAGGAGATATATGTGACCTCTTAGGTACGTCAAAACAAAACCTAGTGCAAGCATTCTGAACTCTTTGTATAGCTTTTTCTGTCTTTTTCAATAATCTGGGACCATATACTGTGTCACAGTAATTAAAAATCGATAAAATAAATGACTCAATCAAGGTAACTCTCACTTTCTCAGACATGAAAGGTCTCAAGCTATATAGAACTTTTAATTTATAAAAAGCATTTTTTAATTTCAGATTTAGATGTTCTATAAATCTAAGATTTTCGTCAACGTATAGACCAAGATTTTTTGCAACTTTTACTTGTTCTAAAGATTCATTGCCTATTTTAATCTGTAGGTTATGTCCCTTAATACATTCACGTTGATGTTTGCTACCTAATATCATATATTTTGATTCATTCGCATTAAGAACTAAATTATTTTTTTCCGACAACTGACATATATGTTCTAAATCATTATTTATAAAATTTACTGAATTATTTTCCATGAGTCTGGAAACGTGTGTGTTTTGATAGATTGATTAATGATATAGGTAATGATATCAAGCGTAACAGGCAAAGTTAATTTTATCATAGTTATTGAAATGTCATCATGCCCAATTGCATTTGAAGAGATGTTATTAATTGTGTTAAGTACTTGCTCTTTCGAGCATTCTTTTATGAAATATTCGGTGTTCGAGTTTTGATTCGTTGTGAATTGGGCTAGTGTATTTAAACTTGTAGTTTCATTGCCTGGCAATGTCATAAAAAAATCGTTAATTTTGTCTGGTTCTTGTAAATGAGGTGGTATACAACCAGAATTACCCTTTCCTAAGGGTGAAATTTTCTTAAAATGTTGCCATATTAGAATTGGTCTATTGGTATTTTTATTCACATAGAAATTTATAAATTCTTCTTTTTCTCTTTTTATACTTGAATTGGTAAAATTTTTAATCATTTTATAATATGACCAACTTGCATCATTTTTACTATTATGGGCTTTTTTTAGCGCCTCATCCCTTTTTTCCATCATTATTTTAATAACCTCAGTGATCCATGGATGAGACTTGTTTTTTATTTTTATGACTTTGACCGGTGCGTGTTTATCAAATAAATTTACTATTTCACAATTGAACTTTACTAGCATATCATTAATGTTTTCAGATAATAAAATCAAAGAGATTTTATTATCTGAAATATTTCTCAAATCTTCCCCAAATTCTTCCTCATCTATATCATTAAAACATCTTTTGGCAATTGATTTTTCCCCCTCTTTTTGTTTTTTTTATGTCAAAGTCTGCTAGTATTAAGACTTTATGACTTTACATATCAATAAAATCGACATTTTCACATAGAAATGTATACCAATATTAATTGATTAATATATGGAAAGATAAATAAATATTGTTCGTGTTGAAAGTGAGTCCAGTGGTGGAGGGTGCGGGTTACTGGGCCAGCGTGGAGTGCGGCGAGCTGGTGGGAGGCGCGGGGCTGCAGGTGCCGCAGTACGCGCGGCTCCGCGGCGTGGCGGCGGGCTCGGCGGCCGCCTGCGACCTCCCGCCCGCGACAAACGAGCTCGCTAACGACACCCGCCTGCCCGACCTCGGACACTCTGTGACACAGTCCGCGACCGAGCATGTTCCGGTCCAATAATGAGATATTTTGAAATGTAAAGTAAAATAAAAAAGTCGCTGATGTTAGATTTTAATACGGTTCTGATGTACACGATAAGAAGTGACTGAGATATATCTTATTTATTATTCCGAGAACGGCCGACATGTGGACGTCAAAATAATTATTATTACTAACAACGATAGATTTTTTAATTTTAAGTAAATGTGTAGTTCTTTAAGAAATTTATTTATATTTCTTCTTAGAAATTAATCAAATATTTTTGAAATAATAAATCCGACCTGTACAAGTGACAGGTTTCTATATATCAATGTATTTATGGCCACGACCACGACAGCGCCTGAATCTTGAAACACAACACTAACGCTTGATAGTGTTCTCTCTGTACGAGCGAGTGAGGAGGCGAGATGACGACGTATTATTATTTTAATACTTTTCACTCAATTTGAAGGGCAGGAGAAGATTATAGTTCGTACGTGTATATATTTTTACTAAGTAATTTTAATTGTTAACTTTTCCTAAATGTTTTATTCTTATCTCCAGATTCACTTTATACTAATGTTAGAGATCTGTAATATTGTAGTTACACCTGTTACCGGTCAAGTTTTTCTCATACTAATACGTCAATTGTGAGAAGTTATAAATATATTCTTGTATACATAAAATTATTGTAAGTTAATCTTTCTGTTGGTCGCGCACACTTCTTATGTTGATGTCCTGTTCCAGATTCGGTTCTATTTGTTTTTGTCATTTGTGTTATCGTAAAGTCTAACATCATTGGAGAAAATATAATAATATTTGGTGTCAAAGAAAACTGTATCAGAAGTACATGTTTACTTTGTTTAATTCATTCACAAAATAAGAGACGAAATAAGCGACAATTTTTTGTTTTCAGTTTGTTCAAATAATAATAGTGTTGTCGCTTATTTTGTTTTTTTTTTTTTATTATCAAAATGTAACTCTGTGTTCTGTGTAACAACTTTAAGTCTTTTATCGATTATAATATCCGTTAAAATTACAAAACTCTTTTATTTATTGTCAACAATAAACAAATCTTACGAGACGAAACCTCTGAGCATTTGTAACATACATGTTTTTTTTAAGATGTTAAAGATAATTTTAACAATATTAAATTATTCTTGTAGTCGTTCTATTTTTAAATTTATTTTAAATAATCTTACTAATTAATAATTGATTTTGAGTTCTGACTGATGTGTCTACCTCTTTACTGTAAAAGAGTTTAAAACAGAGCTGGTAGGCAAGTACCCAGAACACCAGTACAGGTATCGGAATCGAACAATGCGTCGATAAGCGGATAACATGACCATTTAGCGGTTATTGGTTATAGCGTCCGACACGCGGCGTTTCACACGAGCGGTTAACACGAGCGTTTTAGACGGACGGGTTGACGTGGAGTGGAAAATATTGGTACCGACCTCATGTTAAAATAGTAACAATAAACTGTATGCAGACTTTTAAATGTTATGTCTATAGGTGATATAACTTGGTCGGCTGTGTTGATATGAATGTAACACCTCCGTCAGCTCACAACTCGCACAGTCGTTCTCTCGAGTAGGGTAGTGTCGTATAGTAGGTACCTAAGTACGTTTTGTGGCGAGCCTCGTCCCGACTCCCGGCGTCAGTCATCGAACGTGAACACAGCTCCCGGAGACTCTCGAGGCGAGCGATCTTTAAGCTTCGATCTTTAAACAAAGACTTCAAGAAATGCCATAAAACATGCATTAACAGCTGCCCACTCACACCTCGCGACACGACATACATACGACACGACACGCTGCTTAGAAACAGAACATTATTGAACCTACGATTTGATGTACTACACAAGTTATGAAGTCTTTTTATAAAAAGATTTTGTTAGAATAGTATATTTTTATTGTAAAATAATAATATAGTAGTATTAATAATTAATCATGTCAAGTTATTTCAACCGTCGTTACGATCTATCAACCAATCGAGTTACACATTAAATAGCTTTCAGACCAGTATAGTCCGGTCAAATTAGACATTCGGTGCTACATAAATTCGCAACAAGCTGAATTTCGGTACAATTGTTCAAAACACGATTATAAACAATAGCTGAAAGTTCCCCATCATTCCCGTGTGTGGAAAAAAAAATTATTCAAGGTCAAATGTCAAAAAAACGAGGTTTTCGCGATTTTCAGCAAAACGGTAAGTTTTATGAGAAAAATACCTCGGACTAAAATTATAGATCATAAAATTATCTATAAAAAACATATCAATACTTTTTTCTTACGAGACACCGTTTCGGAGATATAACGATTCAAAAAGTTATAAAAGTTGTTATCGTCATAATATGCATGAGTACGACACGTATATACATCTAGAGTTGTTATATTTTATATATATAACCGTCAGTGGTTGCCTAGTGGTTAAAAGGCCCACCACTGGGGGGTGCGGGTTCGATCCTGGCCCGGGCAAGTACCAATGTGATTTTCCCGAGTTATATGTACTTTCTAAGAGTATTTAGACATCACTGATTCATGCTGATTACCAAAGGGGGTTGATGTCAGGCAGGAGTCCAGTCGTAAAAACAAATAGCCAAAACTATTCACAACATGTAAGGCAGATCCTGGCTAAAGCTGGGAAATTGCCAGGTAGAAGAATTCATATATATAAACTAGTTTTTGCCCGCGACTTCGTCCGCGTTAGTTTCGTCATTAGTAATATATGTATAGCTGACCGGGCGAACTCTATTCCGTTTTAGAGGCCATTAATAATCAGGTTTCTCCTGTTTCAATCGAACAGAATGATTGACATATTAGTTAGTTGTCAAATCTAATGTCAAAAAAAAACGTTTGTATGGGAAATAGAAAAGGGCTGTTTTTATGGTTTTCCCAATAATGAATCAATTTTTTTCAGCTTTTATACCTTCCCTGAACCTCCACGAACATTTCAAGACTAAGGTAAGATAAATCCGTTCAGCTGTTCTCGAGTTTTAGCGAGACTAAGGAACAGCAATCCATTTTTATATATACAGGGTGACTGGTGAATTACTATCAATATTTAAGGAGCATACTCGGTACATGATTCTCATTCGAATTATGTAAAAAAAATAGGTACTTAATTTTTGACAAAATTTCCGTATAAATAAATAAAGTGTTGACACGTTCCAAGTGTTCCAAGTGTGGACGCGTACGGCGGCGTGCTGATACAAAACCACGCCCCCGCTGCGTATGTGTGAGTGTGTGTGTATACCTAATCTGTAGGGTGTTCACACGATGCGTAATTAATTACATAACTTTTGGTTAACTTTACTTAGAAGTTTGTTAATATTTATGTTATATTAATTTTTATTTTGTCATATATGATCGTCAACTACCACGTCCTCAAATATCGATAGTAATTCACCAGTCACCCTGTATAGAAGATATTGATTTATTTGTGTTAACTTTTAACTGAAAGCGAAGTTGTTACTGTTGAACGTGGTATTAATTAATGCAAGTATCGAAAGAGCTGATGATTTTTCGAAATATCTCAAAAATCAGAAATCTGTGACAATATATGAAAATTGCTGTAAAAAATATACTCGAAAGTCTTCGTTTTCTGCTGCTAATAAAAGACAACGTGAAAAACAAGTTGGTTGGACTGGACACTTATCTGGCACGAAGTAAAGCGGTTGGTAGAGTAGATATAGAGTTATTATCTCAACATCAAAAGGAAGTGGATTACTGGAGAAACGTACTTAAACGGATTGTAGCTGTTGTAACATTTTTGGCATCGAGAGGGCTTCCATTTCGCGGTGACAATGAAATTCTAGGATCTCCAAACAATGGAAATTAATTGGGTTGTGTGGAATTATTGAGTGAATTTGATCCATTTCTTGCAGATCACTTAATAAAATTTGGGAATCCTGGAAAGGGTAACACTTCTTATTTATCAGCAAATATCTGTAATGAGTTTATTGAAGTAATGGGAAAACAGGTTCTAAAAAAAATATAAATGAAGTTAAATCAGCAAAATATTTTTCCATAAGCGTTGACAGTACGCCCGATCTGTCTCATATTGACCAGCTAACTTTCATCATTCGATACGTAAAAGACTGTGTTCCTGTTGAAAGGTTTTTGAAATTTATACCTATTAAAGAGCATAAATCTAAGTATTTAGCGGAGACCATCTTAATTTTTTTAGAGATACATGATATTCCCATAAAAGATTGCAGAGGTAAAAAGTATATAATCTATTAAAGCAAAACAAAATTGAAGACACATTTCCTAACGTAGAAATTGCATTGAGAATATTTTGAAGTATGATGGTAACTAACTGCAGCGCAGAACGCTCCTTCTCCAAATTGAAACGAATAAAAAACGAATTAAGAAGTACAATGCTTCAAGAGAGATAAACTAGTTTGTCACTGATGTCCATAGTGTGATATTCTCAATACCATAGATTTTGAAGATGTGATTAACGATTTTGCTCATCTTAAATCTAGAAGGGTACCTTTGCAATCAACATAGAATTAATCTAAGGATTTTAAGTTAAGCGAGTTACTTTTGTAGATTATTTTTTATATTTCCTATTTTTTTATAGTTAGTGACTAAATAAAAATAAATTTAGAACCTTGTTTGTCTTTCTTTATCTATTGTAACTAAATAGTGTTTTCTCAAGGTCATAGGGGCCCCATGATCCTAATGTGCCCAGGGCCTCAAATAGTTTAAAGACGGCATTGGCAAAGAGAACAAAGCCCTGAACCCTACAGCCATGTCTTTTGTCTTTTGTATCTTTAATGATTATTTTTAAATATCTTAATTAGAGTTGCCAACATTTCATCAGCGAAATATAGTATTTTCCAAAATAAGGTGTAAAAAATATTGTACATTTAAAAGAAATATAGTATTTTATGGGAAAAAAAAAGACAAATACTTATTTGTTAATTCTTTATTTTTATAAAACTATATTTTTTTTGCACTTCTCGCACCGTGTAACAGTTTTTTGTTTAAAATAAAAGTGTCATTTGCGTCGTCACATTCAATTTTTAAATT